TGTATGTTTCATCATTGCTCTACTGCACCCTGACTGCCTCGTCTCCTCCCCACAACCCTTCTGTAAAGGTATGTCCAGATGCCTACAGATGTATCTTGGTTCCCTGATCTGCACTCTTCCTCATTCACAATGATTTGATTTTTTTATTCTGTGATGCCTGATAACTGATCCCTTTGGCACCTTGTGATCACACAGGATGCTGTGTTTCTTCCATGTGGGCTTTGTTGCTTCTGAGCTAGATGGCCGCTTGTTAACTTCAAGCCTTTAACACCCCAGACACTATTATCTTTTGATAGCCAGGCACCATCAGCTTTCTTCACCACTTTTGCTTATGCACTCATTTGTCTTCAGCAATTGTATCAGGAAGGTGAGCACACAATGATATGATTTTTTGTTCTTTGATGCCTGATCTCTGATCCCTTGGACACCTCGTCATGGTCACGCAGGCTGGTGTGCTTCTTCCAGGTAGGATTTGTTGCTTCTGAGCTAGATGGTCGCTTGTTTACCTCTAAGCTTTTAAGACTCCAGATGCTATGTCTTTTGATAGCCTGGCACCATCAGCTTTCTTCACCACATTTGCTTATGCGTCTATTTGTCTTTAGTGATTGTGTCGGGAAGGTGAGCGTCATGGAATGTCAGTTTAATAGAATAAAGTGCTCTTGCAATTTTTTATTGTTTTATTGGAGGCTCATACAACTCTTATCACAATCCAAACATACATCAATTGTGTAAAGCACATTTGTACATCCATTGCCCTCATCATTCTCAAAACATTTGCTCTCCACCTAAGCCCCTGGCATCAGCTCCTCATTTTTTCCCCCGCCTTCTCCACTCCCCCCTCCTTCATGAACGTAGTACTTGAGTATGGGCCCAATGTCCATCTGCTACCTATAAATATATGTACATAGATCTATTTCCTCATTGTCATATGTAAATATACTTACATATGCACATGCCTACCTTTAGAACTCTATAAATGCCCTTTGCCTCCTAGTTCTTTCCTCTATTTCCTTTTACTCTCCTCTTGTCCCACTATCATGCTCAGCCTTCATTTGGGTTTCAGCAATTCCTCTCAGCCACATTAGCCTTGGTCAAGTCCCACCAAGCCTCCTACTCCCTCCTCACCACTGATTTGGATCATTTGTTGTTCTCTTGTCCCTGGGTTTGTCAACACCCCTTCCCTTCCCTCCATCTCCCCCTCTCCCATGTTCCCCTGGGAACCATCAGTCCCGTTATTTTCTCCTCCAGATTGTTCATCCAGCCTATTTTATACAGACCCGCAGAGATAATAACATGCACAAAAACAAGACAGATCAAAACAAAGCAACAAAAGAAAATAAAACTAATAACAACAACAAACCAATGACAGAAGAAAATAAAATAAAAGAAAATCCTGTAGATAGTTCCAGGACTGTTTGTTGTCCTTTAGGAGTATTTTCCCATCAAGTCAAATGGGGTGCCACCCCTGGTCCCAAAGCCTGTTTTTTGGTATTCCCTGGGGATTTCATTGTTCTGTTCCCCTTGCTGTTCTGTTGCATGCCCTCAGTATTTTGCCTCGGTGTGGTGGCGTCAGATTGGGCACAGTTCCCACACTGTGTCTCTAGTGTTGTCCCCTGTAGCGCTATGGGTTAGTAAGGGATGTCGTGTCTCATAGTGTGGCCGGCCATGTGGTCTTCTCTGTGCAGTGGCTGCTCTGAGCGGGAATATCTTCGTCAAGGCTTGGTAGGCCAGGATGTGCTCCACTCTCTCTTCCTACCCTTTTGTTTGCTCCCATGTGCTCTGATCAGAACTGTCCCTCTCCCTGAGCTGTAGCTTCAGTGCTGTCCTCTGAAGTAAATTCTTCTGGGGGGAGGGGCAGGTGTCCACATAGTTGGGATTGAGGCTGGCCCCTGAGACCTCTCCACTGGTTCCCTACTCCGTGTTGCATTCACTTAAATATTCTTCAGGTAATTTTTTACATATCTAATAGTGGACTGAAATAAGAGATTATTTGATTCTTCATAAGTAACCTTAATGGATCTGTGGTTGCAATAATTCAATTTTGAATTCTTCCATTAAGCAGGCATCTAACTAGGGACAGGTCACCTGGCGTGATCATTAGTGAGGCCTAGCACCAGGTGAACTGCTTTCTGATGTGCTGGCTGGCCTCACGGTGTTTTCTTCTTTCACTTTGGAATGTCTTTCCTGAGGACCGTCAAACTATGTGAGTAACTCAAGAAGTATAGTTGTGTTTTTTTAAACATCTTTTATAATAAGTTCATGGGAAAAGGGAGTAAAAAAATTAAGCCACTAGAGGAATTTAAACTGTGTTGTCTTTTAAGCATTTGACTCGCCGGATCAAATAATGAAGGCTATAAAAACAAAGGCCAAACTGGGAGAGGCCCTTTCTTTTCCCCCTTGAGTACAGAGAGGTGGATTTGAGATTGCCCTTAATAGTATATGAAAATTTGAGCATTCTGAAAAAAAAGGAGAAAACAAGTTTAACTCATCATGGAAGAGAACCTAGATTCAGGAAGGATGTATTGGAGGGCTATTTCCTGTGCGGTTTGTCTCCTCAGTCACTGTCCATGGGACTCTGAGAAGCCGTAGCAATAAGCAGGCGCAGGTTCAAGGCCCGGCTTGATCTTGGACGTTGTGGAAAAGGAGTGTACATCACGAGGCTGAGCCCTGTGCTCCTCCGTGCCACTTGGACAGAGCCCGGGGAGAGTGACCTCCCAGGAGTATCCAGGTTGGGGAGAAGTCTAGTTTTGTGTGTTCATAGTCAATGAATTTTTTTCCAGGAAAGTCATTGTTCAGAAGTTCTACAATCTGATAAGTTTATATATATACATGTTTATATATGTATATATATAATTACACATGTGTCATCTTCATTTTTGCGATGATTATTTCATAGCTGAAAATATCCCTTAATTAGTATAATGAGTTGTGTCCCTGAGAAAACTAATTGGAAACTATTAACTTTATTGTCCTAGAAGCAAAATGCAATTTAAAAGTAATGCAGCTTTGCCCCAAATCCCCCAGCACTTCCTTTGTGGTATCTTGATCCCACATTCTACCCTCTTTTACTACTGAACTTACATTTGTTATAACAGGATTGTGTCTCACTCGTGTTTACATGCTTCCTCTCATAGCTACCACACCGCCTTCAGTGTAGTTGCTCTTTAAAGTGAGAAACTAGGTTTGTGTCCACATCTTTGTGTGTTTCCCCTCATCTTCTTCAGCAATTGATATTTCCTGTTCTTCTCTTCTTTCCTCCGTCCGTTTAAAACTACGACGCCCTCGTTGTTGTCACTCTTGGAATCGAATGTACCACTGAAAAAGCTAACTAGCACTGAGGATAGAATTCACCGAGCACGTGCTCCATTACCTCTTGTAGATTAAGCCTCAAAGTCACCTTCTTAAAGCTACCCGCTGAGTTGAGGGGTATTTCATGTCCACTATTGGGAGGTCTTCTTGGCGCCGGCAGATTCTCCCTATCAGACGCTCCTTTTGCAGATCTCAGGCCTTCTGGGGCGACTTCTCACACCGATATAAGATGTGAGGTGCTGCCTGCGGCCCCATCCGGTGCCATCCTGCCTGGTCCTGCCGTCCTCCAAGTCGTCGGTGTTTGAGCCCACCGGTGCCACCCTTGTGTCAGTTCGTCTTGTTGAGGTCATGCCTCTTCTTCGCTGACCTCCGACTCTACCGAGAGTGAGGGTCTTTTCCAGGGACTGGGCTTTGCTGGGAACATGTTGCAAGTCCACGAGGCGACATTGCACCATCCTCGCTTCTGAAGAGCATCCTGGCTCTGCTTCTTACCACAGAAGTTGGCTCCTTCTTCTGGAAACCTGTGGTATAGTTAATATTCTTCACCCACACCGTGATTCAGATGTGCCAATTCTTCTGCAGGCTCCCTTATCCAGTGCCCTTCTTTCAGATGCATATGAGGTGAATGAAAATACCATGGCTTGGATGAGGCCCACCTTAGTCCTCTGCTCTGTAATACTCTGAAGAGGTTTTGTGCGGCAAATAAAATGGCGTCTTTGAGCATGCCAGTCTCTTCTCAGTTTTTCACCTGTGTTGTCTGTGGGTGTCGTTTTCTTCGCAGTGGGTGGAAATCCACACTGAAGGTGTGTTCTTTGCTCTTCATTGGTCAGTGCTGTGTCTCTTCACTGTCAGCGTGTAAGCTCGGGTCAAATGTGTGTCCTGGTCTGTCAATGGGAGAGCCTGCCTCCAGTCGTGATACCGCATTCTTCATGTAGCCCGCGTCTCTGGTTACTTGCCCAGCATACAAATGGAGTAACTATGGTGAAAGCAGTCCTTTCCTGCTTTTAAAGAAGTTGGTATCATTCTTCAATTTCTTTACAACTGGCTTTAGTGGCGAGTGGGTGAATTTGAATAATAGTTGTATTAACTGGCCTTTCCTATATACGTATCAATATATTAACCTATCACATGCAGCATTATCCTTCAAGATAGATTTTGAGATTATTAGCATCTAGAATTGAATGGCTACTGCAGTGGTTCTCAGCCTTTCTAATGCCGCAGCCCTTTAATACAGTTCCTCATGTTGTGGTGACCCCCAACCATAAAATAATTTTCGTTGCTACTTCAGAACTGTAATTTTGCTACTGTTATGAACCAGGCGACCCCTGTGAAAGGGTCGTTTGACCCCTCCCTTCCCCCCAAAGGGGCCGCGACACACAGGCTGAGAACCGCTGAATTATTGCCTCAATGATGCAGCCATCCTAACACTGGCCTCAGACTAGGGATCATGTAAAACGATGCCTCTCAATGGCCACCTGGAGCTGGCGTCCATTTCACCTCATGGGCTACCTAGTCTTTCCACCAAGGAGCTCACTCTGCCTGTGTCTCGCCAACATGATCTCGATGGGCCTTTGCTTTGGACCCTGCTCTTTTGATGCTCCGAGCACATGCTAATCAGGTTTGTTGGGTTGTCCACCCAATCCCGGACGTGCCTTCATCTCATTTTTGATGTAAAAGAGAGTAAACAAGTAAGTGAGCAAGCACCTGTGGGAACTAGCGAGGCCACGCCACGTGAGCGTTGCCCAGGAGGAAGCGTAAGGACCTCCCTCCCGAGTTGGCAGACACAAAGCGTTTCCCTCAAGGCCGGCACCCTGAATTCAGACTTCTAGCCTTCTAAACGGTGAGAAAGTCAGTTCTGTTTGCTAAAGCCACCCACTTCTATTTGTTAACAGAAGGTAAGCGAGACGCCTTCCCAAACGTGGAAGCAGTTTTTGGTGAGAGAGCTGTAGAATTCTTCATTCAAGGTACCAAACCCTGTAGACTTCTCTGTCTGCCCTGCAGCCACGGCCAGTTTCTTCTCAGAGCCGTGGCTGTCTAAGAGATGAGTCTGTGTCCATGCTTACGTCAGTTACTGTTCTATCTGTTACTATCAATTACCATGCTAGCAATGGATGGTCTAGCTGTTTAATTTGATAAGTTTGGTTTTGCCTGAACAGCGACTTTGCAGATAATTTTCTCGAGCCTTTGATTTATAACCATTCCTTCCTTCAGAAGATTAGGAAAATAGTGATGCAATCTTAAACGATATTTTAAAAACAGAATGAAAGCTCAAATAATCACTGTGACTAATGTTGCCTTCAGCTCATCAACCACTAGTCGACCATCCACCCTGAACTGGCATAGAGGGGGCTGTTTGTAAAAAAATGTGTCAAATGGAGTATGCAGAGTTTATCATACTGTTAAATTACTCAAGAATCTTATCAGAGGGACTTATAAAATTTAAAATATGTATTTAGATCTATTTCTAGAATTATTATCATGGTTATTTGATTTGTTTGGTGAAGGCAGGGCACTGACAATTATTTGGTCACATTATACAATTAAGGAAACAGACACTCAGTGAGGTTCTGTAATTTGTTCCACATCTTATCTGCTCACAGACAGACCCAGGACTTACGTCCTCATTCAGCCTACTATTGAGAGCTCTGATTGTCTCTCTTTCGATGCATTTGTGGAGACACTTCTAAAATCTGCCGAGTTTATGGAGTGCTTCGGGAAGGTTATTGTGAGGACATTTCATTTATGGAAATAGCATTCAGGCATGATTAATAGAATGGTGAGCTCAATCACTAAGCCTTCTTTATTACCCAGTGTACCATAAACAGTTATTTAGTTTTAAACGTATTTGGCTTTTAAAATGTCCAACAACAAATTGAGTATTAAAAAGGGTATAAACCAAAATAAGAAAAAAGCCTATAATGGTATAAAAAGAAAGTCTCCTAGAGACAATGAGGTTTACAGCAAATTCAATAAATTTAAATTTTGTTGTTAAATGAAACAACACAATTAAATTTGGGATCACACACACAGAGATGGAAAAAAAAACTAGCATGCTAAACCATCAAGACAGAGCTTTGCGTTTAAAAAATCTCTTGTGTTATTAGAGGATCACTTTGGAATTCCCTAAAAATGTGATATTGCAGCTCTGTTCAGTGTCCAGGATGTAGGGTCTGGTTTGCACATTTGTGACAAATCTCTTCCCAGAGCTGCAAAACAATTTGTTTCTGTCATCAGGGGGTTAAAGAAGCAGTTTTCTTCCTGTGCTGTTGAGAGATTTTTTTTTTCCCTAAGAGGTCAGGGAAATACATCAGAAGAAAAGATGATTCACATTTGCCTGGAGTTACTAAAGCACGTGTGTGTTTTTTCTCTCTCTCCAGCATCGAAGCCCTGCCTACTCTCCATTTAGCAAAGACATTTAAAAGCAGCTCCCATGTCCTGCCACCACTGCTGGTTCAGGACTTTGGCTTCCCCTGAATCATTCATGTTTTCGCTTGACTGTGCGGGGTCTGTAGTTCAAAAGCTCAACTGAATTTGGTGGTCCTTCTTCTAGTCTACGGACGTGTGCCAATTTTCTAAAACTGCTGCAGAGTTCAGCAGGCTTTTGCATTCTTGGCCGGATTCCACCACTGAGAGATCTGGAAGAAGACTAGAAGGAACGCTGGGTAGGGAGAAAGGAAATCCCTGGAAATGTGATGGAGTAGACCATGTATTCACTCACTTTTCTCTATTGTGATACCGATTCTTCTGACTTTTTCATTGACTTTGTTTGGGGCTGTTTTTTTCCTTCATCTCTTTTTGAGACTAAATTTCTTAATTAGGAAATATTTGTGTTTGTTGCACACTTTGTGTTTGCTGTACTTTAACATAGAAAGAGGAGAGAGATTCAAGTTATAACAAAATAAATGAGCTTTGTGTTTTATGGTAACAACAACAGCAAAAGATGAGTTTTTCTCATATGTTCATTCATTTAGATTGCTTTTGAAGGCAACAAAGGGAGAGGGAGAAAAGTCTCAAATTTTTGTTCTTAAGGAAGTGCCCGGCTTATGGATGTTCAACTGAACAACTCCTATTTACTGGGATCTGTTAGGGCCAAGGAAGCCAAACAAGAACAGACCGGAGTGTTTACAACATGGGCGACTTGTCTCGGTGGCTGTGAAGGGATAATCCTTGGGTTGAAGACCTGTGATGGGAGAGTCAGAAGAGGCACCGTGAGCTTTCAGGAGCCTGATGCATGTGATTGGATTATTGACAGGGCTGGGGAGAGCTTGGTTGGCTGGCATTTTTGAGTGGGGTACCTTTGAGTCCTTGCTTAAATGCCGTGTGAATTTGCCTACTTTAAAATGTCTTCTCTGACATTAAAGTAAGGTTACAAGAACCACCTGTACCTGTTCCGACTGACCCATAAATTCCTAAAGGCGCAGTTA